TGTTTTTTTTTAAATTAGGAGTAGAGCTATTTGTAATATTGTTGCTTTGCAAAAATGCATATCAAGCGTTTGTAGTCCAACGGTTAGGATAATTGCCTTCCAAGCAATAGACCCGGGTTCGACTCCCGGCAAACGCATTCTTTTAATCTAGCAAAGATCTAGTAAAGAATCTGTATGGTCGTAATCTTATAATCCCATCAAACTGGAGCTCCTTGTTTTCTTTAACTTTTTAAACCAGAACCACCCAAGTCCTTGTGATATCCTTTTTTATTATCGTGCAGAACCCATCGAATAAGAAGGAGAATTTGTGATGCAAAATTGAATAGAGACCGCTTATGCCCCTGCATCAAGCAGTCTCCTAGACAATGGTACAAGAGGTTCGATTCTTTCATGACCAGTCACAAATTCAGCAGGTGCACCTATGATAGCTGCGTTTATTTCAAGAAAGGTGACAATGGTTCAAAGATCTACTTACTCTTGTACGTGGATGACATGTTGATTGCAGCAAAAGATATGAAGGAGATTCAGAAGTTAAAAGACCAGTTGAAAGCTGAATTTGAAATGAAGGACTTAGGAGCTGCCAAAAAGATTTTAGGTATGGAAATTATTCGTGACAGGAAGTCTAGGATCTTGCATCTTTCTCAGAAAAGTTATATTGAGAAAGTCCTAAGACGCTTCAATATGCACGAAGCAAAGTCTGTCAACACACCTTTTGCAGCTCATTTCAAGCTATCATCCGCTTTGAGTCCTACTAATGAGACTGATATGGCTTACATGACACGTGTTCCATACTCTAGTGCTGTTGGATCTTTAATGTATGCTATGATCTGCACACGCCCTGATTTGGCTTATGCTGTTAGCATGGTTAGTAGATACATGGCGAACCCGGGGAAAGAACACTGGAAAGCAGTACAGTGGATTTTTCGTTATTTACGAGGTACGTCTTCCATGTGTTTACGTTTTGGCAAATCTAACACTGGGGTGTTCGGATATGTTGATTCAGATTATGGAAAAGATTTGGATAAACGAAGATCAATTACAGGGTATGTGTTTACACTAAATGGTTGTGCTGTTAGTTGGAAAGCCCAGTTACAGTCTACAGTTGCCCTGTCTTCTACCGAGGCAGAGTACATGGCGATTACAGAAGCAGTTAAGGAAGATATCTGGTTGAAGGGGTTATTCGGAGAACTCGATGATAGAATAAAGGTGACCACAGTTTTCTGTGACAACCAGAGTGCTATCTTCTTGAGTAAAGATCAAATGTTTCATGACCGAACAAAGCATATTGATATTCGTTATCATTTTGTGAGGGATATCATTGAAAAAGGTGATTGTGTTGTGGACAAGATTCATACAGATTATAATCCCGCTGATATGTTCACTAAAAGTCTTCCTATAGCCAATTTCAAATTATGTTTGGACATGGTGGGTGTTTCTGATCGCAGTTGAGCCTGAAGGCTCGTGGTGGAGGAACTATTATTTATTTTTCCGGAAACAATTTTTCTCTATACAAAATTGCAGTTTTTTATGGAAGTTTTAGAGTTTGATGAGCTAAAGGTTTTGACTAATCGTAAAACATGACTTGCTTAATTTTGATGTCAAGGTGGAGATTATGGAAAAGTTGCCTCCAAAATTAGCAAGTGGCAAATAGTTCAGGGGTTATTTCCGTAACTTATCATTTACTATTCATAGTTTGACTATGAATAGTAATCTAATATGAAATTGAAAATGAAATTGGACGGAATGGAGGCGCAGCAGTTTTTTGGACGGCATTTTTGTTTTCACATTAGATTTATATTCTCCTCTTTGGCTATAAATAGCGAGAGAGACTTAACCCACAAAATTAACCCAACAATCAAATATATATATATATATATATATATATATATATATATATATATATATATATATATATATAGTAAAACTTTACATATATATATATATATATATATATACTGATACACCACCATATATTTTAGCCCTCTCACTCTATTTGTAATCTCTTTCATAATCCCTGTAAACACTGCAAATTATAGTGAATTGTTTCTCGGCTTCCTCCGCCCGTGGTTTTTTCCCGATTTGGGTTTCCACGTAAATTCCTGTGTCTCTATTCTATTTATTTTATTCGTATTTCGTTGTGATTATTACGCTTTGATAATTTTTGATCCTATTCCGCATTGAGCTAATATTATTTAAGTCTATTCGGATCCTTCGTATTTCACAACAGTATTCACCATTCAAAAGTGGCAACCAAACTTGGTGGGAAAGTGTTTCATAGTTCAGGCAAACCAACGAAGATTTTAATGTATACTAGAACAACAAATCGTTACCGAGGGACATCAAAAGTGGATGTCCAAAACTGTTAGGATATAATATTAAAATTCAATATAGGCCCAAAAAAAAAAAACACAACTGATATACATTCATGAAAGGGGACATCATCAACCTTGGGTACCGTTTCAGTACCGTGGGTAGTCTAATGGAATGAGGTTTTGTAAGAGGCTCCAGAATTGTGGATAATAAGGCGGCAAGTTCGAGAAGGTACTTCCGCACCACCGAGTTTCTGTGATGAAGGTGACTGACTCCTGTATCAAAGTTGTTTAGTACTGCCTCGATCATTATCTTGGTTTCCTTGTCTATTTCATGAGTTAATGCGAGTGCAATTGAAGGACATTCAGGAGTACAAAAAGCTTACCAACAAATGGCAAAGGAAGTATATTGGGAGGGTATGTGTAAAGGCATAGCAAGAATGATGGCGGAGCGTGACGTGTGTCATCACCATAAATATTTGACAATGGCATCGGGAGGATTGTTGCAACCCTTAGAATTACCAAACAAAAGTGTGGGTGGATGTGACAATAGATTTTAAGACCGGGTTGCCAAGGTCGGAGGGATACAATGTCATTTTTGTCGTAGTGGACCGCTTGAGTAAGTATTGGACAAGTCTATAAGCATCACCAATAATATGAGAATTAATTAACGGGAGATTGATATTTTTATCGTCTAAGTAGGGTTGATATTTTATTGAAATTGTTAGTACTTATCTTTTATTTAAATGTTAGATTTGGATTAGGTTTGTTGGGAAACTGATATTTATAGGTTCCTGCATTATTTTGATGAATAATTAGAATTTTATTTTGAATCTAATACTTCTAGAGACCTTCCTGTTTCTTGAATTATATAAATTCTACCTAGGAATTCTACCTGGTTCTCATTATAACCCTCCTATGATGTGTATGAGTGTATCATCCTCAACAGAGTATCTTGTTTGTTGGTGTTGTCACCCTCATTGGTATTGTTCTTAGTGCTGACCATTTTCTCAATGTGCTTTGCTACAAGACTATCCTTTTTTCTTCTTCAAAAATGGCATCCATTGTAACTTTGATTTTTTTAGTCTTGGGATTGAGTAACTTATAGGCCTTAGATTCAATGCATAAAACAATCCTAAGAGTACATAATCCACACTCCTGTCATAAAGCTTCATTCTCTATTGTTGTGCACTTGTGGTACATGAAATATCACATACGGTTGAAACTTAGAAAATGTCTTCCAAAATCAAAATCTATTTTTTTTCTTTTTCGGAAAAAAAGGTTAAAAAGATTTTTTGTCTTTTGTCTTCGGAAAAACAAACAATATTTTTCTCAGATGTCTTTTTTCCGCCCGCAGACATAAAAGGTCAAAACGACTTTTTTGTTAGAAAACAAACACCACCTTATCCTTTGGTGAATGGTGATCGAACGGTCTTGTTTGTAGTTCAATAAACAACATAAACATGTTGCTTGCACCCATTATGGTCATAATAATCAGGCCTTTGTGGGGATGAAAAATCTTACATATTCCTTTTGTCAAGATGTTATGACCACTTTCTTGTAGTCGTGACATACTATTTGTTCCTCAACTATGGAACATAGTACATATCACAAACAATACGATTGATTCCATTCAATTTTGATCTTAGAATTATCGTAACCAGTCGTGTTCATTAGTTCATTATCATTTTGTTTCCAAGTTTCACTATGGTCGTGTTACTATGATACAGAGTACTTGAGAACCATGATTGATCTCCACTCATGTGGTTCACTCAAGTGGTTCAAACATCTTAGGGGGTGTTCGAGATTTCATTTAAAAAGAACTTATTGACTTATTTGCTTTTTGAAAAGTCAATAAATAAAAAAGAAAAAAAAGTGGTTGGTAATGTAATAAGGACTTTTAAAATAACCTCTCATAAGCCCTTCAAAAAGGAGATTTTAATAAATTAGGATTCTAACATTTAAAAACTTCTTATAACTTTTTGGTTGTAAAAGTCAAATTCTCCTTAAAACATGTATAAGCTAAGACAAATACTTTTTAATTTATTGACTTATTGATTTTCTCACCACAAAAAACTAATCCAAACACTTTTTAAAAAACTCATTTTCTCACCACCATAAGTCAATAAGTCTTTTTGCCTAAAAGTCCTTTTAAGGTTCAAAATGAAATCCTAAACACCTTCTCAAAATCAAGGAACCATCATATATTTTCTTAACTTCTTATGTGTAGTCCACTAGAAGCAGTTCACTTTCTCTTCCTTCCTCTTCAAGATGGCAGTATAATTAGTTTCCCTGTTCCACAACCTCTACCCTCATGATAATAAATACATATTAGTGGACTTGTTAACGGAAGCACAAGAGAAATACTTGAGAAAGAAGGTATGTTATTAACACTGATTTCAGTTGGTGTAGCAAAGCAATTATCGAAGATCATGATGTATTGATGGCATTAGTGATCTTATCGGTATTGACGTACTAATCATATATGGCAGGTTTGTAAAAGTCATTTCAGTAAATGAATCTCACTCTATGGTAAAATATCATGGTAATAATTTCTTCGTATCATGTTTCGCATTCATGAGTGTTGATAACTAAAATCCATAAAAAATACACCATAGAAATAAATTTCTTGCTATCGTGTGGGTACCCCCGCCCTTTCTTTCCTTTCGCGTTGCCGACTCTAGGGTTTCGATGGCAGAGCTTCACGGTGATGTCCTTCCGCATATACTGAAAAGATTGAATGCGAAGGATCTAATCCGATGCAAAAGTGTGTGTAGGTCTTGGAAAAATTTGATCTCTGACTCTGGTTTCATTAAATTCCATATGAACTATAGTTACCAAATTGATTACAAAAATAATGATATAGATAGGAGGATTGTTATGTCAAGGGTCCCTGATCGCAACGGGTCGCGTGTTTGTGATGTTGATGACAAATTCTTTGATGATCGTGATTGTCATCTTCTTGGTTCTTCCAATGGACTTGTATGCATCTCTTCTTTTGCTTCTCAACTTGTAGTAGCCAATCCCTCAACTAGAGAGGTGCAAACACTACAAGAGCCTCCAATCCGTGATACCAAGTGTTTATGTTGGGGTTTTGGGTATGATTCATCTACGGATGATTACAAGGTTGTGTTAGGGTTCCGTAAACGTGTTGGTTGGACAAGTTTTCTAGTGTTAAGTTTGAAATCAAATGTTTGGAAAGTAATTGGAGATGTAAAGTATTCGTTTCTTAGTAGGATTGGTATCTTATGCAATGGGGCACTTCATTGGATTATGAAAGATTCTTCATCTCCAAATAAGAAGAGAGTCATTACTTCGTTTCGGCTATCTGCAGAAAAATTTATCAAAATTTCCCAACCTGATGATGAGCGATATGAATCTGGTGTTGCTAGCTGCCCAAATATGAATTTAGGTATTATCGAAGATTGTTTATGCGTATTTCCTTGTGATGGGTTTAATGATAACTTATGGATGCTGAAGAACTACAATGGAAAGCTGTCTTGGGGAATGTTTGAAAAGGAGTGTGAGATGAACTTAGGTTTACAATGCTTGAAAGAGCAGAAACATTACATTCCTAACAAGAGAACTTTGTGTCGTGATATGCTGTTCTACAAGACTAGGGAGTATATTTGTGCCCCTATCTATATGGAGAGTCTTGTATCTCCCTATGTTAATGGGAGGCCAAAGAGAAAGACACAAGAGAGTAATAGCAAGAAGAGTTGTAAGGTGTGTTCTAAATATGAGTTATTTTGTTTATCATATAATACAAACTGTGGAATTATATCTGGATTCTGAATTCTTATTAATGTTTACGATGATTCCTCTACATCCCTAAAAAAGTGTGTTGATCTTGGCCTCGATCATAGCTCAAGCTTCATGTTTACTCATGGGATGCTTTCATTTTCTGTTGTAACATATGAGGTCTGCAAATGGACATTATCTATAGTTTAAAGTTTTGATCATGGAGCTTAGTTAATTTTATTCTTTCCTTATTCTCTTTACAATCAGGTAGTGTTTGGTATCATGGATTATGGGTAAGGAATGGAATGGTTCATTCCATAGGAATGAGAAAAGTCTGTTTGTCTTGCCCGGTGGAATGGAATGGGCAATTCTTGAAGGAATTTGATTTCTTCCATTTTGTTAATTTTCACTGTGTTTCCGTTTGGATGTTTTTCTTTCATTTTCATTATGGAGTGGAATGAAAATTTACAATGTAGCCCATTTTTGTTTATGTAGTAATTAATGACAGTTTTCTGTTATTTTTACTAAATTATAGTTCTAAGAATAATTATTATTTAAGATAATGTATACAATAGAGTTAAAATTATGTATTATATTTACATATAACATAACAAATACCTATGAAAATTCAGGGCATTTTTCGGCATGACAACTATATTTAGATGACAATGATTGTGTAAAGATCTGCATGATTGACTTGAAATTGAAAGGATTACAAAAGGTTTTACTAGCATTCAAGAGGCTAGGAACTCTCCCTGAATTCACTTATATTCTGTTATGACCAAAGATACTAACTACTAACACTAACCACTCAACTAAGCCTTCCTAACTGATCTAACAGTAAAAAGACCTTATTGCCCTTACTGCTCTACTTAAGCCACAACTGACAGGACTAAACGTAAGCCTAATAAGAAGTGTAACAGACTCATAAGAGAGACTAGTATATATAATGTTGACTGTTCACTGACTTCCCATTTTGATTTCTCAGTTGATTAAGCGAGACCCTATGCTTCCAGGAGCAAGTGGCAAAGTTTGAGGCTGTTGAAGCAGTTTGGATGATATGGCATTGCTTGTTCTCTCTGCAATATTATAAAGATAACTTCAGATAGTTTTAGTATCTTATGTTAATAAATTGTGTTTGATGGATTTCAATGGCTTGTGCTTGATGGATTTCAGAAACGTATGTTTGATGTTTTTAAAGTGTGATGAACTCTTACTTTCTAGTAATATCGTGTCTGATGATGTTAAAAAATCCTTTGAATACCATCACTTTAGTTTTAACCATTTTGTGGAAAGCTTTTAACAAAAAAATGTCGTGATAGACTTTCTCATAAAAGTGTATGCCTTCATTTAGATATTTGTGTTTCTTTAAATCGCATTAGTATTATTGATGCATGTTACTATTTTGATTCTTAATTTTTTATGCAGGATCTACTCATGTTCATATGGTTACTACATCCTGCTTCTTGATTGTCATGTCATTTCATTTTCTATATCTTCATTTGCTTAAATTTCTTATGTTTGATATATTCGTTTTGTGCAAGTATACCATCAATAAACCAGCTATGATACGCTCTTGGGGATACGTACTTCTTCGTCTTGTTATACTGTTGTGCTTGATATGATTGAATTTGCTAGGATGGTCACCATGCAACACTTGGTTCTCAATCAAAGTGCCACGTCACTCATTCCAACCTAGTTGACAAACAATGAAGATAACTTTTTGTTGAATAAAGTCCATTAATAAACACTATGTTGCATTTTTTAAAGGGTTATTGACATAAAGGCACATCAAACTTTCAGGTTTGGTTTTAAATGGCCATTTAACTTTTTTTTAGACCTGTTAGACCATTAAACTCAAAAACTATCCGTTAAAAATACCATTTTGCTAAAAATTATCAGGTTTTCCGGTTACATTGTTGATGTGTAGATAATGGACATATCCACATGGACTTTGACATTAAGAAAGTCAAAGATATTGCCTATGATCCCGCCATTTCCATTACCAAGCCTTGCGCATGCCTTCAATGCTACTGTAAATGTGGAAGGTAAGAGTCCCGATCTTTGCAGCTTCACGTACTGAGCAAAGGCTTCTTGAAACCCACCATGGTTGTAGAAATATTGAATAGCAGATCTTGTCGAATTCACATCTGGTTGTTTTGAATGGTGAAGAATTAATCGAAGATAATGAGCATTACCTTGATAGTAATCGAATGGATAGCTTATAAGATGGCGGATTATCATCAACTCTTAGAACATGTTCCTTCCGCATCACCGCCACCATCAACTCTTACACAACAACCACCATCCTTTTTCCAGCACCATCCATCTTCCACCACCGCCACCATCCTTCTTCCACCCATTCTTATCTTCCACCACAGATTACAAGACTAAATTTTGAAAAGGAATTGAAGGTCCAAAGCACCATCTATTTCCCAGCAGGTCTAAATCTGCACCAGATCGTATGAAGAATGTGAATATCCAAATATGTTACCAAATCTTAGGAATTGTTGGGGTTATCTTGGTGTTCGAATTCTGCGTGTGTAGTTTTCAAAGTCTGCCTTCGTAGTCTCGATCTCATCTCTTTTTACGAACTATTGAATTGTGAAAAATACCCGTAGATGCGGATGAGCAAGGCAGCGGAGCAGTGAATGTCCTAGAATCGATGCAGTGTAAATTGTGAAAACGAAAAACACGTTGCTGCAGAGAAGAAGAAGCGACAAAACTGTAGCAGCGGATGTACTGTAGGGAAGACGACGACAATAGAATGTCGGAAAAGTGCTTGGTATCGGTAAAAAAATCCCGTAATAGGAGCCGATGGAAAAAAAATCAAGTTGATAGGCTCGAATAGCACGACCTATCTACTACATCTTCGATCATCCAACATCCATTGAGTCATTGTTAACCGACACTCACCAACTCGGACGCTATTAGCAAACCACAACAACTTCGTCTCTATCATCATCTCATTTGCAACCTGCTACTAGAGAAAGAAAGGGAAGAAGATGGGGCAATTTTTTAGACCTGTGATCGATAAGAGAGAAAAGGGAAATTCACACCTGTTCATGGATTGAGGAAAGAGTGTGGTTGTTTTTGTTCTTGTTTCTATTGTTTCTATTGGGAAGTACACAAAAGCAAAGAGAGTGAGATGCAAGAGGTGTATTCGACTGGGTCAAAGAAAAAGGGGTGGGTTATTTTACACATCAGCATTCAACAGTGTCAACAGTAATATGTAACCGGGAAACCTATTAACTTTGATAAAAATGATGTTTTAGACAGAAAAATTTTGGGTTTAATGGTCTAAAAAGTTCAAAAAAAAAAAGTTAAATGGTCATTTAAAACCAAACGTGAAAGTTTGATGTGCCTTTATGTCAATAACCCTTTTTTAAATGTTGAGTTTGTGTTATCTTTTTCTCTACTTAATGTAGGTGGATCCCAAATATAAATACATGATATTAGAAGATTATCAAGATACGATTTTCATACAAAGTCTTGGAATCTATAGAAACATTTTTTTCTCGTGTATAACATTCTAGAACTACGGCCCAAAGTTCATCTGTGACATATTGAACATAATGGGTCATAGCACCAAGCTATTATAGGACAAAACCTTTATTTTTGGATTTCGGACACAACTATTACTTTAACTTAGAGATATATATTACAATTGATGTTAAAGTATAAACTCGTTATGTGTAATTTTGGTTAAACTCATTCATTTCTTGATAATTACTATTTCTTGAGATTCTGTATGAGTAGGGCAGGGATTCACTTTGGCTCGACTTTGAATGATAGTCAATAAAACTTGGATATCAAATTAGATTGCGTTATACACGATTTGTAAGTACTATTATGACCTGTAATGCAATTATCTGTGGCAAAATCTACTTGGGAATTATTCTCTCAAATAACAACTTCAAGTTTGGCTGCAAAACAGGAAGTCGAGCACTAAACAAGAGTATGGCTAGTTTGTTTTAGAATGGAAGAGTTAGACCCTAGACTTACTGATCAAATCATGTATGTATGCCCAAAATTTCATTAAAGTGGATCAGCAGTTTTGGATATTGGCAGCTTGCCTTAAAGCCATCAGTAGCAGCCTTCACTACCTACACTTTTGGCATCAATGTTTCATGACCTAGGCTTCAAAATCTACACGTCTTTCAGGGCTTAAATACCTACGCCTTCAGGACCTAGACTTTAAAGGCATCTTAAGGATTTGCGTTTGGAGGTCTTCACGACCCCAACACCCTACCATTCGTTGTGTCCACGATCATACTAGTTTATATGAGTGTACACATTGCATGTTCCCTAACTCTTACTTGAGCATAACCTAATTAAATACCTTTTAGATATATGGGTAAACACCTATTAATTACCTTAAGTGCTTGATGACATTACATCTCCAACTTCAACCAAAAAACAGACCAATCTTAATGCGTTTTGGTGTTGTGGAACCGGTTTAGTCTCAAACTGAACCCTGAACTGAATACAAATTACACATTTTCAGGTTGAAAAAACTATATACATATAAAATTCTATTATTTCAAGTTTAAAAAATAAAAAAAAAAATAAAAATAACTATTATGGTGTGGAACTCAATGCTACCTAGCCGTTTAAAATATATAAAACTGAACTGACTTTTAAAAGCTCTTAGAATATGAGATCCGGTGTTTTTTTTTAAATTAGGAGTAGAGCTATTTGTAATATTGTTGCTTTGCAAAAATGCATATCAAGCGTTTGTAGTCCAACGGTTAGGATAATTGCCTTCCAAGCAATAGACCCGGGTTCGACTCCCGGCAAACGCATTCTTTTAATCTAGCAAAGATCTAGTAAAGAATCTGTATGGTCGTAATCTTATAATCCCATCAAACTGGAGCTCCTTGTTTTCTTTAACTTTTTAAACCAGAACCACCCAAGTCCTTGTGATATCCTTTTTTATTATCGTGCAGAACCCATCGAATAAGAAGGAGAATTTGTGATGCAAAATTGAATAGAGACCGCTTATGCCCCTGCATCAAGCAGTCTCCTAGACAATGGTACAAGAGGTTCGATTCTTTCATGACCAGTCACAAATTCAGCAGGTGCACCTATGATAGCTGCGTTTATTTCAAGAAAGGTGACAATGGTTCAAAGATCTACTTACTCTTGTACGTGGATGACATGTTGATTGCAGCAAAAGATATGAAGGAGATTCAGAAGTTAAAAGACCAGTTGAAAGCTGAATTTGAAATGAAGGACTTAGGAGCTGCCAAAAAGATTTTAGGTATGGAAATTATTCGTGACAGGAAGTCTAGGATCTTGCATCTTTCTCAGAAAAGTTATATTGAGAAAGTCCTAAGACGCTTCAATATGCACGAAGCAAAGTCTGTCAACACACCTTTTGCAGCTCATTTCAAGCTATCATCCGCTTTGAGTCCTATTAATGAGACTGATATGGCTTACATGACACGTGTTCCATACTCTAGTGCTGTTGGATCTTTAATGTATGCTATGATCTGCACACGCCCTGATTTGGCTTATGCTGTTAGCATGGTTAGTAGATACATGGCGAACCCGGGGAAAGAACACTGGAAAGCAGTACAGTGGATTTTTCGTTATTTACGAGGTACGTCTTCCATGTGTTTACGTTTTGGCAAATCTAACACTGGGGTGTTCGGATATGTTGATTCAGATTATGGAAAAGATTTGGATAAACGAAGATCAATTACAGGGTATGTGTTTACACTAAATGGTTGTGCTGTTAGTTGGAAAGCCCAGTTACAGTCTACAGTTGCCCTGTCTTCTACCGAGGCATAGTACATGGCGATTACAGAAGCAGTTAAGGAAGATATCTGGTTGAAGGGGTTATTCGGAGAACTCGATGATAGAATAAAGGTGACCACAGTTTTCTGTGACAACCAGAGTGCTATCTTCTTGAGTAAAGATCAAATGTTTCATGACCGAACAAAGCATATTGATATTCGTTATCATTTTGTGAGGGATATCATTGAAAAAGGTGATTGTGTTGTGGACAAGATTCATACAGATTATAATCCC